GGCAGTTTGGGGACTACTTGCAACATTATGAAGCACTAAAGTTAAAATATTTATAATGTCAATATAATATATAATCAATGTAACCAATCAGCACTGATTTAGATGCTAAATGAGAGAGCAACTGTGAAAGAATATTCATGAGTTTGACTGACAGTTGAATAAATCATAATTAATACACTATTATACACTATTATATGGGATCAGAATATGCCACCCTAAAATATGCCACTGTGACATAGTGTGATTTTTGAGATAGAGGCAAATGAGAATCAACAGATGCAGAAAGAAACCTTCTTAGAGCTTCCTTTTTATACTAAAGCAATAATTTCTTAGAAATGAGGACTGCCATACATTCTTTCACTGTGGGAAGTTTTAAGGTCCTGAAGAAGGTGGAAAGTTTGACCAACATAGATCATCAAACAAACCTTCCTATAATAAACCTTATCATCCATTAGTTTCCAACATATATTTACCTTTCAGTTGTTTGCTGTCCCATGCATGTGCTATGGATGTTAATAAACTCTAATTAAACTCTGTTTTTCTCTATTAAGCTAATTTAATTTAATTTAATTTAATTCACAGGGCCTAGCCAGAGAATCTAGGAAGGTAGACCAAAAAAAAAAAAAAAAACAAACACAGGACTGGGTATGTAGCTCAGAGGTAAATCACTTGTCAGATGTAGGAGAGGCCCTAGGTTTTATATCAGCACAAAAATAAATATATAAATAATAAAAATGTCCAACCCTACATAGAATAGTAGAAATAATAATGATTATGATGATAATAATAGTTGAATAACAAATAATCATTAGAGGTTACATTAAGATTCTATGAAGAAAACAAAAGGAACAATGAAGAATTACCAGAGTATCCCATACTAAAAATGTACAGACTTAAAGGAGATGTGGGAGAAGTTGAGTGAATATTTGGGACAAAAAATTCCCCATGGAAGTGCCAGATTCAAAGGCCAAGAAGTAGGAGTGTGACTGGTGGGTTCAGTGTGGCTAGAGCAGAATAGAGGAGGAAAGCAGTGAGAGCCAACAACAGGAAGAAAATGATAAATCATTTATGAGGGGGCTTGTTGACCATGATAAGGAACTGGTTTTTACTCTTCAGGTAAAGAGAGCCACAGGAGTGTTAGAGCAGAAGAATGACAAGACCCATCTTCGATTTTAAATTAGACACTCTGGCTGTTTGATAGAGATATACTTTGGGGAGGGTCTAGAAAGAAGCCACCTAAGAGACTACAGACTAACCAAGGTCAGCTATGCTGCTAGCATAGGAGAGAGTGGTAACACTGGAAGTGGTGAGAAGTGATTGGGTACAGGATATGTCTTAAAAAAAAAAAAGCAAGAAGACTTAGGATAGATTGAATGTGGATATAAGAATCAGAGGACTCAAGAATGGCCCTAAAGTTTGGGGTCTGAGCAATGGAAGAATAGAATTGCCACCATCTGAGATGAAAGGGCTCTGGATAAAAACAGATTGTTTCCTTGCTTGGTTTGGTATTTGCTTTTTCTTGGGCTGGAGGTTCAAGCACTCCATTTTGATACCATCATATTTGAGCTGCATATTAGTTCTCCAAGTGGAAGTGTGAATTAAGTAATTGAACATATAAATGAAAGAGATTTGAAGACAAATAATTAGCATATTCATATTACTTAAAGTTACACAACTTCATGGCAAGACTGTGAGTGAGTGTGGACAGAAAACAGATCAGGAATAAGACTTAAGTCCAGGGCTTCACCAAGATTAAGAGGTCAAGAAAAGAGAAGCAACCAGTAAATAAGACAGAAAAACCCAATTAGGAGAAAAATCAAGAGTGTGTTGTTCTGTAAGTCAAATAAAGATTCTCAAGACGTGTGTTTTCTATCTCCTATGTTGAATGCTGTTAATAGATCAAGTGAGATGAGAACTTGCATTTGCCCTTTAAAAGTCTTTAGTTACCTTGACAAGAGCAACTTTGAAGGAGTAGTAACACAAAGCCAGACTAGGTTTGGTGTAAGAGAGAATGAAAGGAGAGCAAGTTTTGCTGCAAAGGAAGCGAGCTAATGGGGTTGGTGGTCATGCTCCATTTGTCCAAAACATAGTGGAGAAATAATGCATGTTAATGTGTTGACAAAAATAATACAGTAGAGAGGTGAAAAACTGTTGATGGAAACAAAAGGAAGGATCCCTGGAATTACATCCTGGTAAGGTGAGAGGAAATGGAATCTAGTGAGCAAGTGGAAGGACTGGAGTTAGAAATGAAGATACTTCTGTGGTGACAGTTGTCAACGCTAACTGGCAGATATATCCCCTGCAGAGTCCTCACAACACCAAGGCCCCAAGTGACAGCTGTGATGGATCCACCTGGTGCAGGAGCAGAGATGTCCACAGTATTATAAAGCTGTAACTATAGTATACCTGCTGGACTTTAGCGCCACTGCTCTGTTTGGTATAAGAGAAGATGGAAGGCAGACTCTGGAGGTGATAAATGTATGCTGGAAATCTGTGGATGTTCTCTGCTGATCCTTCAGCTTTCTCAATAAAGCAGGAAGCACGGGCCATCAAGCCCTCCCCAGAGGGGAACAAGGGTGAGGAACAAAGATTGAGGTTTGAGAGAAGAGAAATGGTGAAATATCATGCAGAGTGGGAAGAGTGAACAACTAGTGAAAGAAGAATGACAGCAAAGAAGCATCAAGGCCCATTTAAGATGTGGAATTACAAATTTAAAGTGAGAATAGTCAACCTGTCTTTCTCAAGCCTCCATTAGCTGCACAAGTACCAAAACAGAGGAGTCGGATTTAAAGAAGGTTGTTCTCCAAGAAAAGATGAAGAGGCAAAAGAAGCACAAGAGTCAGAGTGCATGCAAGGCAGTAAGTAAAAGGACCAACTAAAGGGTTAGAATTAGGTGAGAAAGGTAAGACAATAAAGAAACTGAGGGACAGTAAATAAGATGGTAAGACTAATGGATCTTAGAGGCATTAGAGGCTTAATGAAGGATACAGAAAAATGTGAGGATAAAATTAATTAAATTAAAAGATCATATATGGAAGTCAGAGATCAACACAGCTGAAATTGAAATTATGTGCTGCAGTTATTGGTAACACAAAGGCTAGAGCATGACCAGGGGATTAAGTGCATGAGGCAAGAAGACAAGGCAAGACTACTAGAGAAGGGAAGTCCAAGGAACTAAGAAGATACAGGAAGGATTATGCACACATGTATTAAAACTGCTTTCTATTAAAACATGAACAGCAATGGACAGTAGAAGGAGGTAAAATCATCAAGAAACATGAAATAAATGACTCAAGGATCAATTGATAAGAACACTGAAACATAGATGATCATATGGTCTGCTGACTAGGATATTTTAGAGGGGACAAAGGGAGAATGATCTAAAAGTGGCAATAATAACTAGAATGGGCAATTCAGGATCAAGAGTCAACGTGAAGTCAAGTCAGCAGAAGAAGTCCACCAAGCAACCACAAATCCGTCTCCATAAAATTTCCACGTGGAGCAAATAAACAATATATCCACACAACAGAAGCAGATGATAAATGAAAAACAACACAGACCACTTGACACTTCCAGCTGTCTAAACAACCCAAAAGCCCTTTGTAACTTAGGATGGATCTTGATGAGAAGGAAAAGAAAAGAGAAATTGAAAACTAAATCTGGCACACAAAATAGTCTTAATTTCAAAAAGTGATTGTATCGCCTTAACTTGTAAAGATTAAGTCTCATTTCCTGGTGTAAAAATGTAATCTTGAAAGCTAAAGTAAGTTTAGATGAAGAAGCTTATATCTTTGTACTCCTGAATGCTACTTAGAAGCTACTTCAAAAATAGCAAAAACATTCACTGAGCACTTAGTACAGTATATGGTACTCTCTGTGCTTCAACATTTTGCATGGATTATCACCCTTCCTCTTTACTGTGACCCTTTGAGTAAATACTGTCAGAGACAGTAAATGTTACCTATTCTGCTTTGCAGATAAGCAAGCTGAAATATCATACATACTCAAGGGAAAAGCCAAGATTTGAACTGCTGAAGATAAAGCCTCTGACCCTAATCATTATACTCTACACTGCCTCCACCTGGTAGGGCAATAGTTTAAGACATTACTTTAGAACAATAATTTGGGATATCAGATTCAGGGGCTATTTCAAACAGATTTATTGCCCCACCAGAATTAAGTTCCTCAAGACCTTGGAACATATTTTCAGATTTTTCTGGTTTCCTCTTAGGATGCTCTGCATGAGGTTGGGAGTAACTAACTCCCATGAATAGCAATGTCTCTATTCCAGTTTGTCAGGTACCATGAGACACAGGGCCACATGGAAGCTGTACTTCTTTTGATAGCCTTGTTGTCAAGTCTTCAGAGGATCCATGGCAGAAGTAACTTGGTGCCAACGTCTTTATAAATAGCAGGAGAAGCCTAATGATAGTTGGTTTCATAAAATAAGTGACTAGAAAATAAGATAAGAGATCATTTATTTCCTTTTGCTACGTGTCAAAAGGGCCCAGGAAATTTAGTTGTTCAACAAGCTCTTACTCCTCATGCCACCATCAATTTAATCATTATCATTAATAATTATACTTCTCATAAGGCATTCCATGATTACAGTGTATTTTGTTTTGTTTTGTTTTAATTTTAGTATTACTGGAAACTGTAGTGCATTCTACAGGTTGTCTTCTGGCCCTCATAATTAATCCCTGCTAAGAGCACACCAAAACTAATCTTCATGCTGTATGTTTGTATTAGATTGGAAAAATCAGTATCTTAGTTCATCTGATACATGAAAATAATTTTAAATGCAAATATTGTAATACTCTAATTCAAAGCAATGTAATAAAGAGGGAACAATGTCTGATCTTATGCTGTGTGAGCACTCAGCACTGTCCAGCTGCTGTGAAATTGGATACCTTTTAATGCCTTTCTGTAATAATCATACTCTATGAAAGCCATCAATGAGGAAACCATATGCCTACCGTGTAATTTTTGTTGCAGCTTACCTGTGGTCTTTTGTGAAACTCTACACAATGCACAAAGTCTTGGATCTGCTCTGCTTCTCCCAGTAGTTTCAAAAACTGAAAGGAAATAAGCTATTTTAATCTCTAGCTTGGAATGTGCAGTTTAACTCTAGATCCATGTGTCTCTGGTGGTCACTGCCATTTTGTAATGTTACAAGAGATTTTGTTTTAAAATGCACTGTGGGCTTATATAGCAACTTTATCAGATGAATTATCTTCTTGGGGAAATCTTCTGGGACAGAAAAAGCAATATACAGCAGACCAATTTTTGGATCAGGTATGTGCCAGGAAATTTCTACACATAATCAAGATTCTGCATGCAGGGCTCTTGTCTGCCTACAAAAAAATGCAATAGAAGATAATTTGGCTTCACTAATGTTTACATTCCTTACAAATTTCACAGCTAGGCATAAATTTCCTCCTTTGTCTTACACCTTTTGTACCTGAGCTACATCAAATAACATTATAAATCACTTGCTCATTTCAAATCAAATTTTGTACCAGAAAACTAATTTCCTTATCCAGCTAATTTTCTTATACTAAAATAATGTATATTATTGGTATACATAAATAAAAAACACCCAAATGGTATTTTAAAGGGAAAAAAACTAGTTTGTAGATTTTTCCTATTTGAGAAAGAGTCTCTGAAGAACCACCACAAATGTTTTCTACTGACTCCAGAAGGTTTTCGCCACTGTGGCAACACAAGGTATTGTGTTATACATTCCTTCCCTACTTGTTATCCTCTTGGAAAAGAAACGTTAAGGTAGTGAAAGTGGGATCCATTTAGTGGAAGTGGTAAAAACGATGCTTCCCAATGCTGTAAAAGTAGTAACTAGAGAAGTGAAAAGTTGATGGTAGATATAGCAAGAAGAGGAATGATTCCATCCACACCCCTAACTCTTAAATGCCCCAGGATAGACACCCAAAGCATTTCTTTTCCATCCAGTAAGTCTGGTTTTCTACACACAATAGCTCCATGAACCTTCCCAGAGCTTCCTTCCTCCTGGCAGAGTTGATTCTTTAATATGTTAGGAATGTCCATGGGATATCACTCTATGTGGTAGACTTCAGTATTTGATACAATCACCAAGTCAAATGTTAGGTATTAGTGGTCTTATGTGGCCAACAGGCTGCTGTCTCCTGGACTAAGGGATGATAAAATCTAAGATATTTTAAAGGCAACTATGAGAGTCAGTAGAAAATTGAGTTTGTGCAACTGAGGTTATCAAGTTCCCCAGTCTACTTCCACATAGTGAACAGACCTACAGGTCCAAGTAAGGGGGCACTCAGGCTGATGAAACAAAAAAACCTTCACATGCTAACCTGAATCTGTATTATTTCTAGATTTCTCTCTAAACTTTCAGGGCATTAAGGTAAAAACAAAGAATCTGCGATCAGACTTAGTTCAAATCACAGCTAAATTTCTTTAAAAGTCTCAACAACACATTCTAAACAGCTCTGAGCTGTACTTTCCACCTTTAGGTAAGAGGCAGGTAACACCAACCTCAGCAGCCTGCCCTGCAGATTAATTAAGATAATGTGTACACAATTACTAATACAAGACTTTAACCCAGGGGCTTAAAATATTCCTGTTTAATTAGTCTAAAGCTGTTCAAAAAATATAACGGCAACAGCTGTTGTAACCACAGTAGATATGGTAAGAAGAAAGATAAATAGCAACCTTGTTTTCCAGTACTAGAAACTGAACTCAGAGCCTCATGCTTGGTAGACAAGTGCACTATTACTGAGCTACATCCCCAATCCTATAGCAAACTTTTATTGAATGCTTAATAGACTAGACACTGTGCTAAACACACACACACACACACACACACACACACACACACACACACACACACCATTTCCAAATCTTATGAAAATCCTACAACATGGATCCAATTTAACAGAACTGATCCCTGGTAAGTAGTATAACAGAAAGAAGAAAACTGAACCATTAAGGAAATTCCATTCATTGTTTTAAGTAAGGATTCTATCAAACAAATTAACCTGTAATTTGGCTCTGCTCATTTTAACAGTGCTCATTTTCATTATATATCCTAAATGTGAACATTATGGAACATTATAAAACCTAAAAGTAAAAGAGACCTTTGAGGCCCAAGTAAATCCATACAAATCTACCACCTTCAATTCTGTTGTACTTAGCACAAGACTGCCAGAAAGTGTGGGAGGGTAGCATCTCTAGTCTGCCCAAAAGGTCCGTTGGGAGCTGGGCTGAGAGTGACCCAGGGTCCCAAAGCATCCATTCACAAAAGCTCAGAATCACAATTAAGGAACAAAACCTATGCTACACCACCTATAATGACACTAATTAAAGGAAGTAGGGGAAAAGCAGATAAGCATCTCATCAGGAATTAATGTTGAGTCCAAACACCAACTGAAATTACAATCAATGCCTCAAAAAGGAACCAAATTACTATATCAGGACAAGATCCTTCCTCTACTTTTTTTTCTGCTAAACTGGACCCTGAAATCTGATATAAGATAACCCCTGCAGCCATCACACATATACAGATGAGATGTTCATTTGCTAGGAACATCCTGTGTCAAAGAATATCAGTTGATCTCAACCTTTCCAGATGTTTCCCCATACTATTTGTAGCACCTGATATGGATCTTTTTCTTCCTCTTAGAAACTATATTCAAAACACTGGAACATAGAGAGAACTACTCCAGAGAGAAATATCCACACTGTCACTGTCTACACCTGTCACATAGGAAATGGGTAGCTAACTCTGGAAAGGAATAAGGAAAGTGCCTAAACCAGAATATAAGCAAATAAAATGAATTGGTTTTTCAAGATTCTCTATTTCATCAAAGGATTTAAATAACAAATTCCCTACTACATTTAATATATGGTTTTGTTTACAAAGTAGAATTTTTCAGGAAATATATTTAATGGATAAAGTAAAGAACACCTAGATGTCTCATATCAGATAAGATTTACGAGGAAATGGATACACTTGACTGAATTCATACACAATAACTAAGCCTGGCATGAGTATATGAAATAACTAATTATTGACTTACGATATCATCAACTGAATCAGGATGAGAAACAGAACCGCAAAGTGCCATATGCAAAGTGGCTAGATTTTACTTAAATATCCTTATCCTGAGAAAGTGTTATTTCTATGAGAGCATGCTTTATTTTTAGAATGTCTGGTTCTGACAACATTATCCAGAAATAATTATTCAATAGTGAATGCCAAGAAACTCAAGTACAAAAATGATAAGAAATATTTTAAGCTACCTTTCCCAGAAATACAATCTGTTTCTCAATTGATAGAAATTCATCAGAAGCAACTGCTTGTATCATAGTTCCTCAGAAATTCATCAAAAGTCACCATGCCAAATTGCCATGTAATCACTGGATCAAGGCAGTAATTCATCCAGCTACCTACATTGATAAACACCTTACCAAATCTTTGATGCGCTGTGCCACACCACTTTCAAAGTCCATCCAATGTATCAGTGACTCTAATTCTTTATTTGAAAAACAAACCAAAAAAAAAAACCCTTACTTTCATTATGGAATTTATACAAGCTCAAAAAGAACCATAGTATTTTAATATTCTTATTAGTGCACTAGAGTCACACATAATAGGGAGGTTCATTTTGACATAATCAGACATCCATGGAAAATGATTTGCTCTACTTCAGTCCTCAGTGCTTCCTCTCTCCCTTCCCTCCTTTCTTCTTTTGTTTTCCTTCTCCTCCTCTACCAGTTTTCTATTTTATTTACTGTTTTTAAAATTGGTGCTTTATAGATAAACATAAAGGTGAAATTCACTGTGCTATATTAAATGTATGTACATAGCATAATTTGGCAATTTTATTCCATAGTTCTTTCCTTTTTGGGTCCCTTCTTCCTCCCCCCTCAGTCCCCTTCCTCTGCTTCACCAATCTCCCTTCTATTTTCATATGGTCTCCTTTTACTTTTTCTTATTTTTCTCCAGCTCCTACATATTAGAGAAAACACCTGACCCTTGAATTTCTGAGCCTCACTTATTTCACTTAGCATGATGATGAAATACAGTTTTAAAAAAATAATATAAATTCCTCAGTATCTTCATTACGAAGAAATAGGGGGGAAAAAAAGGTGGTAGGCATTTCTCCAAAAAGAAATTTGAAACAAATTAAAAGAATTATTTTTATAAATTATCAATTTTTAAACAACACCAAGAGAAGCGGGAGCATTTCAAAGGCAGGATCTGGCAGTCCCTCTCTTAACTACTGTATTTCACACCCCACATCTGCAAAGTGGAAAAAGCACAATTCTACCTACTTCATAGATGTTTTGTATAGAGCAGATGGCATAATTGAAAATACACATAAAAGTGTGTGTTACCATCAAGGGCATTTTCAAGTCTAAGGAAATAGAGAAATGTATTTTGTGGCTGCCTCTCCTCACGTGAACTCTTCTCTTCACCCACTCAAAACAGAAGAGTCAAAATTAAGTTATTGCCTGAAGTAGGCCCTAAAAGAAAAGATAAATACCTGGCACTAATATGTATACTCCTAGGGAAGTTGTCAAATCTCACCGAGGCTTCTTTCTTCACATCTCGGGAGGTAGGGAACAGCTTACTTGCCTCCATCTCCCCAGATGTGAAAGTAGTTTTAACAGTGTTGTCTGACCCAGCTTTCTCATTTGTAAAATTGGTTTTGAGGATAATATATTTAAAGCCTGTAGCCTAGCATTTACCATATTAACTTATTCACCAATAATCTATTCTAACTGCTGCTTATATTCTGAGCTTATAGTCTAGTAAAAGAAGACCCTGGATAACAGAATGAATGAGGAAAACTTGAGTGTTGACAGTGTCAGCTTCCTGGCATGTGACCTAGGCAAATGCACAAAGTCTTGAGCTCCGAAGTCTTCATGCTTTATCTTTTACTATCTTGCTTTTACTCTCTTGCTTTGCCATCTTGAAATCCTTAATACTCTTTGAGCAAGGGGGCCTAACATTTTCATTCCTTGGATGAAAAATAAAGTTATAAAGGGACTAGGGATGTGCGATAGGAGGAGGGTAGAG